CTTTAAAAAAAAAAAATCCATGAAAACTGCAGTCAAATCATTTAAGTAGGAGAAAATGTTAAAAAGTGAGTGATCAACAACATTTGATTCTCATTGGCCTAAAATTATCTGATTTTCAGTTGTCTTTTGCTCTGTGTCCTTCCTGGGCTCTTGCCCTCTGCAGTCACTCTCACAGTGTTTCAGTAGAAGGAAAGGGTGCCGAGAGTTTTCAAGATCCAGCAAACAGACCTCATGCATCTTTTTGAGCCCAAGGCATTTTCAATGTAGCTACAGAAAATAGCTAATTTGAATACAACACACATTTCCTCCTCCTGCTTAGTTAATGCCAGGGCTTTGAGGTCCTTTTCAGAACAGTGCAGGGTTGTGAGGAGGTACTTTGTAATCACAGCTAAGTATTACACCATGCTCCATGAGCCAGATACCAGCTCCTACCTCTAACATCTTTAGTGCAATTAACAGGGAGCTGCAATGACCTGATGTCAAATACTCACCAATTACAAGGCAAAGGGTAAAGAAGATATTAAGTACTCAAAAAGACCCACCAAAGATCCTTCACAACTGCTGCACTAACCCACACTTCCCACCCCCCTGCATGTCTACAACAGCCCTCCAGCCCTTATTGGGAAGACTTGCAACTCACTCTAATTTCTCTTAGGTTCAGTTTGGACAGGCAGCTTACATGCAACAGGAAGAAGCATGGTATTCATCACATTGGAGGAATCTTTTTGTCAATTACCTCAAAGCTTGCCCTGCAATGCAGAAAGCATTTGGGAAGCATTCTCATGTAATTCAAGATATTTTAGGTCGTTTCAAACTAAGTAGCAGAAGAGCAGATCTGTAGAAACAAGGTACTTCAGAAGAAGGAGGCTGCACTGCAGACACTGTTCTCTGGTACTCGACTCTTCCTAAAACTCCAGGATGCAAGAATGATTCAATAGAACCAATAGTACAAGCACCAAGGTTTTGGTTTTGTTTTTTTTCCCTAATGCCCAGCACACCACAACCCAAAGCTAGCAAACTCAGTACAAAGTCTCAGTATGCACTTGCAATTATAACTTTTGTCAGAAATCCACTTCACTGTGCCTGTGATTCATTTAAGAGCTATCCAAAGCTAAGTTCAGTTTAGGAGTCTTTCTGGCATGAGTAAATCTTTCTCTTCATTTAACAGCAGTGCAAGAGAGCTCAGGGAGCATGGGGAGGTGAGATCATTACCACATTGCAAAGCAGACAGAGCATCACTTGCAGGAGGAATTGTGTCCTGTCTATTAGCTTCTTCTCTATTTCTTTCCTTTCTTTACTATATTTGCAATATAGTCACACTGAGTTAGACTGTTTAGTAGAGAACCATTATGGAAAGGTGACAGAGGATGAGAAGCAAGGATTTAAAAAAATACCAATGTGTTACCTGGTCACCACAGTCTCTAGTGGAAGGTGTGAAATGGGGACCATATCAAGCTAACTGCCAGCATTTCTGCTGCCTTTGCTCAGCCTCACAGCCTGGCACTGAGCCCTTATGGCCCATGAAAGCACAGTCTGGTCTTTTTCATGTCGTGCCCCATCTCTTCCATGAAATTTCAATTACCCAAGGAGAAACCACATTACTATCAGAAACGATGACATTTTCAGACTGCTCACACCTTTGTCTGCTTACATCACTGCCAATACCAAAATAATGATTAGATACTGGAATTTTAAGAACGAATTTGAGGCCTTGGCATTAGTTCTCTGTTTTGTGCCCTGTCAAACTCCAGTTACAGCAAAGTTTCTCTATCTACACAAAAGTACTGCCTGAGCAGACCACAGTAACCAAAGTCTATGTTGCATCCAGTGTAGCTGGCTGAATATTGAGAGGTGTTATTTCACTGACAAGACAAACTCCCACAGGCTTTAGGTAGAAGTGACATACTGAATACTATGCATCTGTATTGTTTCACCATGAACAAAAGGAACCCAAACTTATTTTCTAACTGACACAATCAATGTCCTTTTTTGTCCCTTTTAAATGTATAATATCCTTCATATGACAAAGTATAAAATTTAAGAGAAATACAGGATTATAAATGTAGAAATTCTATACCTGGAAGGTGGGAGGTAGACTTTATCAACAACAAATCAATCATCTACTTCTCTTCCTAGAGTTGTACGTATGTCCTTTCTAATTTTAGTACTTTAACAAATGCTAAGTATCTGCTTTGCTTTGTGATAAAGAGTGATTTTCCTGATAGTCACCAAGCACAGGAGATTCTTTATTCTAGACTCTCCTGCCTAGATATACATAATAACTCTTTATCATACATCTTGGGCTGCAGGAGCTACACTCCTCTTTTAGCAGGACAGAAATGTAAGGAAAGAATAATGTGAGAGATGGCAGACTGGAAAAGTGAGCCATCAGCTGTCCCATATTAGAATTTCTAGCCTGCTCCTTCTTCATTCCTCCCTTATGCACCAGCCTGGCTTCCCCCCAGGCCTGTGGCAGCTCATCAGTCACTACACAGCAGTGCCACTGTGGCACTTTGATTCCCTTCCCAGTCTCCATCTCAACCTTTCTCCTTCCAACAGTGTTAGGATCACAGACCATATGCAATCAGGGCTTGCAATAAACCCTTGGGTGTCAGACCAGGAGAACGAAAAGTATCATTGGTAGCCTGCAATGCTTTTTGTTCATGGAGGCAAAATCAGTGGGGACTAATGCAGTTGTCTGACATTAAGCATTTATATCAGAGCAGTTTGAGGTCCTGTGTAACACCACATAAATATTCTGGACTCAAATGCACTTCACTTTTTACAACTTTTTCACATATCCTGTCTCAAAAATTTATTCCCTGTGAGCTGCTTCTCACGTTGCCAAGGAAGGTCAGGCATTATAGCCACGCTTTGCCTGACACTGGGACTAAACCAGCAATGGGTCAGTGGTTTCTAGTTACAGACAAAATTAGTTTCTCAGGATTAGGACCTTTTCATACATCTTTTATCCTGTCCTGAACTGTTTCATCAGAGTTTTGTTAACCTTAAATACACGCTGCTTCTAAAGCATATTTATTATGACCTCAAGTTCCCATGCTAGACATTAATTCATAAATGTATCTCCCTGATTCAGACTGATGGATATCAGAGCACAGCCAAGTTATGGATCTCAGGCCTGACTTGATATTCATTTCTCCCAAATTAAAATGCTTACATGCCTTTAACCTACTGATTTCTTGTCACTGACAATGAAAATAGTAAAAGCTAACACCATTGATATATAAAGGTACATTACATGAACCCTGTTCTTTATGTCACTGTTAGCTTTGGATTCTCTTCTGAGAGCCAGACTCCACAAAGTCCTGAATCACAGAGCTGCTTACTCCTAATACTAAGTAGAGATGAAGGGCAAACATACATGCAGTTTTGTGGGGAAACAATCCATTTATGGTAGTGCTTTCTTTTATCATGTTTGTATAAAACCTAATCACACAACAACTGGACAAAACAACTCCCAAGCCTATGGCTGAGAAGACTTCTATCTGATGTTTTCCAGAATTTTCGAATCCCATGTAGTCAAAAGAGAGAACTGCTGAGCTGACATTGGCATAGCTGATGCCCATGAATCTTACATTTTCACCCATGTTCCCCCCAGCACAGATGACAGTGTGGATGCTTCAGCTGTTTTAAGGCCCACTGGCAATTATCTACTATTGCTGCTTAGGACAGCATGCACTGAATTACTGGCTGTGAGCAGTTTTACAAACAATCACAGATCTTGTACTGTAAAACCTAAAAGTTCCATCCATATAAGAATAATTTTGGTCATTAACAAAAACTTTCTGCAAAGAAGAAAATCCTCTGCAGAGTGAACGAATTACAAATCTCAATTACACCTAATACTTTATGCATTGTAGCTAAATTTCATGTTCTTCCTCATAAGTGGCATACTATGATCAATATTTAAAAATGGACTAAGTGGGAAAAGTGTTGCTCAAATATTTATAGCAGAAGTTCAAAAATATCTGTTCAAAAATTTCCAGTTCTAAGACACATGCTATCACCATGGTGCCAAGTGAGGTGATAGAAAGGAGACTGAAAGCCCTAAGACTCTGCTAATGGTTTACAGTTAATTCTTGGGTATACTGTGAATACAGTTTAGCCCAAATGCAGTGCTAATGGCCAAATATTAACAGAAAGACTGGTTTAAATATAAGAAAACACTCTCCAGGGAAGTGGGGTTTTTTGGTAACTGATCTTAGCCCCATCTTTTTCTGTAAGATCATTCACCTACATTGTTCTAATGGTGGCAGTAGCATAACAAAGATAACATCAATTAATGGAACCACCTACGTACTTGAGAAATATATAGTTCTAATATCTTCCATCAGTAAATCCTTTCCATGTGATCTATAACACATAGAAAATTTGCCTATCTACACGATTGTATCTCCAATCATATGTCTTTAAATCACAAGTCTGTATGAGTACAAATAAGATGCAGAGAACCTCCCATGAATTTCCTACAGATTTACCTTATCAGAGATGAACTTGGAGACATGCTTCTTTTAACATCATCCCATTAGCTGGCTTTACTCATAAACAGCCATTAAGGAAATTATACTACACAAAAAAAGGGGAAGCCTACATAGAACTGGAATTCATCATCTGTCCCAAGCAAGAAAAATCTCCGTAACTGAAGTTCACTCTTGGTACAGTTTCCAGTAATTTGAGACTTCTCACATGCAACTGCATTTTCCACCTCAGGAGACAAACCATACTTAGCCAAAGAAACTCTGGAACTTGAAGACAAGACCTTCAGGGAGTGAAATGGCCAAGTAAGCTCACGAAACGAGGGTAGAAAAGACTGGAAGGAACCAATAAGGGCAGAAAGTTTTCCTACTATAGGGACTGCAGCTTAGCTTTGGGAAGATCAACAAGGGCAGGGAAAAGTCTTACAGGAACACAGGATTTTGTTCTTGTTCTCACACACACCTTCAGCTTTGTGTAACTGAAGTCAGAAAACCCCACTTTACCTCGCTCACATGTTCTACCCCAATAGCCAGTGCCGGTGCAGTCACAAATGAAGCGGTTCCAGCCATCCTTGCAGACTGCATTGTTCTTACAGGGGTAGCTGTCACACTGCTTGGTGCTGAGGCGGGAGCAGGAGGACTTGACTCCAGCAGCATTCTGTGCCTCTGCCAGCTGCCGGATGTTCTTGCTCCGTCCATCGATGAACAAGTCTCGGATACAGCCGACATAGCCATAGTTCAGCATTGCTGTCCAGAGCTCTGTGGGAAGGATGAGTCCTGCTCGGTTCTCTGGCAGCCCACCGAGGTACATGTCACCTTCCAGATCCAGGATCTCACTCTCCCCGCTAGCAGTGAATGGGGTGCGTCGGCTGTTCACTGATATAGTACCTACATGAGGAAGATAAAGAGACATCAACGCTTTCAACTGCAGACTCAGTTCAGTTCATTTTTCTTCCAATAACTGAATGAGGTTTAAGGTTCTCACAGGACAGTAAAGGTTCTTCCCCATTCAAATGGCATTCACTCTCTGCGTGTCTCTCACACAGCTCCCTCTCCTCCTGATCCACAGATCCTAAGTACTTCCATGCAATGACTGATCATCATGCGTCTGTATCCCAAATTGCATTAGAAAGTCAGAAGCATAACAATTCAATGGCTGAATAATAATATGCAAAATTTGAGCATTATTCCATGGTATTCATCCAGCAAAGCAAAAACTTATTGAGAACACACAAGAGTTTGATGGCCTAAAGACTCGAGAGAAATAAAGATAAGCAAAAGCATTTTAATACCCACTATATAGCTCTTTCAGAAAGCACTTCATCAGTACCTCTAAACCTGGACCTGGATGATGGACCAACATAGACACGTTTGTAAGTGACATGGAGGGAATGGCTGATGCATTGGAGGAAACACTGGATTACCATTTAAGAGAAACCATTGCAAGGTGGAACAAAGGACTGATAGCAAAGTTTGATGTAGATCAAAACGAATAAATACAAAGTCTTACACCTGAGTCACAAAAGCTTCAGACAAGTACAGTCTAGTGACCAGCTGGCTAAGGAGCAACTCTGCAGAAAAGGACCTGGAAATATGGCAGACAACTTGAACATGAATTAGCACTGTGAACTTGTAGCGGAAAGGGACGCAAGCTGCAGTAAGATGTCCTGGTTCCAGCCAGAGCAAAGGTAATTCTTTGCAGGAGCTGGGAGGAGAATGGCCAGGGGAAGCAAGTGAACAATGTGATTTGCAGAGTCTCAATGGGACCATTGAATTCCTGAGCCACAACATAAGGGAATCTTCAACTCCATGGAAAAGGACATTTTTCACCACGAGAATCGTCAAACACGAAAACAGAAATCTCAAAGGGGTTTACCAGACTGAAAGCATTCAAAGCTCAACTGCACATGACCTTGAACAAAGTCTAGATTGAAGTAGAAATCTTCAGAAGTTTGTCTCAAAGTAAAATATTGTATGGCTTTACAAAGAAAGTTTTCTAGTTTCCATTTCATCCAGGAAAATTGAAGAAGAGAAACATAAACTTATATCTGAACAACAGTTCAGATATAAAAAAACTGTGATAGCTTCCATATGCTCCAGATCAAATGTGGGCATACTGCACTGAGGTCTTTCACATGTATTTCAAGAAATTGTCCCAGCACATAAAATAATCAGTATCATACAGAAATATAATCAGAATATATAAAATAGGTACAGAAAAGCAAAGTGACTTGTTTAAGGTCACACAATGGATCCAAAGGAAAATAGGGAACATAATGCACATCTCTCACATTCCAGAGCAGTGCACTCTTCTGAAGAGCATTCAGCAGTTTCTGTAATAGGGATATCTGCCCACTAGACACTCATCTAAAAATCAGCAATTCACTCTCCCCAGCTATAAATCATCACATCCAATTGCCTTGTCATTAAGACAGTCTGTCTTCAGAGATACTACCCAAGCTTTAAGATTAATTCCACATCACTGCATTTTTATCAGACACCCCGACAATAAGGAAGAAGAGTTAATAGAGTTAACTCTATCTATTTTCTCTGTGAGAAGGTACAGTCATGTACACACACATTTTCTTCAGCTGTAAGAGGTGTCTTCTTAGAGAACTGCACATATGACACAGACACAAGGTATTCCATGTGTGTGATGTTCTGTAATGATTGAGGAATAATGTTGGAGGCAACAGAGTGTCAGAAGCAACAGAGGCATAACAAATTAAAGGTTCAAAGAGAACCACAGTTATTTGATGAATCATTTTGTATCAACAAGCTGGAGCACCACAGGCATTTTCTCTTGTATAAAATAAGGAAAGAAAAAATATGACAATACACATACTGTCACACAGGCAGCACATCACAGAGCCACAGGAACACAACTTCCCTTCCAGCATTTCCACTGCTATTTCTCAGAAGCGGCCTGTAGAGTACATATTACTCCAAAGCTTAGAACTGAAACACTGGAGGGCTGAGCTCTAGACAGCTGCTACTGTGGAGAGAACAAACACATGTGCAAACGCCACAAAGGTAAAGAAACCCCCTAAAAGACAAGAAATATTGGATAACATGAAGTGTAAAACCTGGAGAAAGATGGTGAGATGATGAACAAGAAACAGGCTAGACAGTAACCTAAACATTCTGAGTGTTTTGTACCCTGCTTTGTGCTGGACTGAAGAACAGACCAAAACACCCCACTGAGGGCAGAACAGGCACACCAAACAGTGCACTGATACAATTGTAAACCAAACCATCCAGTAAGATTTCTAGTGTCTGATGAAGTGGGAATCATGTATGTTTTGTAGCTGATGACTAGGTAAAAACATTGTCCTGCATAGCATGCTCATCGTTCCCTAGCTAGAAACTGTGACAGGTTTTGTGAACCTGGTGGGAGCTTTCCCAAAGGACAGAAAGGTTTCAGGACATTAGGTGCCCATGTCCACTCTGCCCACTGCCAGCTTCTGTCAGAGTAGAAAGACAAGAACAGGTTTTGTTTCTCTGGCAGCCAACACACACACACAAGGCCTAAGGGGACTAGAGATGCCAGAGGTTATCTGAGCATGACTGCCAAGCTTCTCTGCCTTAGTGCACTGCAATAGTGAATATTTGGATTTTTAAGCTATTTTACTAAGATCAGCAGTACCTGAAGTTTTGGACTGTTAGAGAAATGGGGGGAAAAAAGGAGAGAGATGACACCTAACATAGGCTTTTCTGCTTTAGAAAGGAGAAACAGAACTCAAATTAAACTCAAATGAGTGCTTTTAGCCCCAATTAAATAAATTAATTGTTTCAGTTTCCAAATTACAGTCATCTATACTGGGGGAAAAAAATATAACCATTCTCCAGTCCACATCTGGAAGAAAAGCCAACGAATAAACAAAAAGAGGTGTTGAACTCCTTTCTCACACTTACCCAAAGTGCCATTGGGTAATAGTGGCTGAAGGTACAATGTGAAGAAATCGACACCAGTATCCTGGTTTTCTCAGGACACAAGGCATCAGTTAGGATCATTAACCAAGTATTCATTGTGAGCAGAGAATACAACCAAATAAAAAGGAAAAAAAAGACACATCATACGGACACATTCTTTCATTCTTTCTTGTTGCGAAAACTGTTTCTAATTCAAAATCTGTTACCTCTAATCAGTGTCTAGAACATCATAAACCTCCCTGACAAGTGACAAACAAGTCAGTCCTACAGTGTCATCCATCAAGTGCGATGGATGCGTCTGTCACACCCTCCTGTGAATGTGTCCAAATGAAAATGTGTCCCTCTTCATAAGGTTTTGCAAACATTCTTTGCATACAGCCTGTGTAATTTCTGTCTCCTCTGCCTCTGCAGCTACTTCTTCAGGGATGAGATAGTCCCCAAGTGAGCAAGCAAAACTGAAGTCAGTACGAAACACAGCTAATTGAGTTTATCCCTGGAAGTTAATTAAATTTTAGCAATTCTAAAGAAATCAAAGCTCCATTTATTTATTTATTACTTCCTTTGTAAAATGGTCCTATCAATGTCTTCAGGAGATAGCAATATATAACCACACATATTAAGTCCAAGCAGAGCACTGTGCCAAATACAAAGAAACTACTCACATCATCAAAGGAAGAATAGCTTCAGGCAAAGAACTGTTCAAACAGCTAGGCCTTGCACGGTATCTCAAAGTCAGCTCTTCTAAAAACTCAAGGGAAGCAAATTCTAGCACTGCATTCCCTATATTGATGGTATTCAGCAACTGGAAACATAAAATTAGGGACCTAAAACTGTCATCTGGAGATCACCAGACAAATCACAAATCCACTGGCAAATGTAAGCAAAATTCCTTTTGAACTGAAGGCTTTGAGATGCCAATGGTTCAGAAAGAATTGAAGTACAATTGTTATTTTCTAGATGAAGCTACAGTATTTGAGCATTTTTGTTTTCCTCCACAATTTCAGAGTAGAGCATGAGTATGTTAGCTTGATATTCAGCACTGGAAACAATAAAAATATCTCTTGGCAATTGCATGATAAGTGTATTTTTAGAAAGGAACTAAAACCCATATTTGAAAATGAGAAGCTGCAGAGAAAGAAAAGAAACATCCACTGAATGCTGTCTCAGATTTTAAGGCTAGAATCTGTCATCTAAAAGAGTAAAGAAACCTAACTCAAAACTACAGAATACTAAAGGGAACAGAATGGGATGAAAATGTTGACCTATTGCCATAATTTTGTTATTGGTTGTGCCCATTGCTCTTATTTTTCTCATGACAAGATCCCAAATGCAGAAGCCCAAGGCAGATGAGTAAGAATTTCTCAAACTGAGAACAATGGCTCTGAAGGACCTTAAACCTAACCATGGCCTACAAAGAAGTCATCACTGTAATAATGCATGCAATTGTGAATATATCTCCAGAATATCTGAGGATTGTGAATAAAATATTAATAGATTACCTCTGTGATGTGCTATCCAAAGTTCACTAAACATTTAATGAAAGCCATTCACATCTTTGCCTTGCTGGATAAACATCGTTGGAGTAACACAAAGCTTTGTTAAGGACGTGACTCATATCTAACAGGTTTTGAATATTCTGAGAATTAATACATAGCCCTAGGTCTGAATCTGAAATATTAATCTATTTAAGAAAAATTATAACTCTACCCGATCTTCCATCTCGTTGAATATCCACATGATACCACTCTCCATCATTGGCTTTCTTCTGGGTGGCCTTGACTTTAATGGTCCCAGAACCCATGTCCAGCAGCAAGTAGAGGTTTCCATCTAGAAGCTCAACTGCAAAGAAGTCTACCTTTGTATTTTTCTGGCTTCTGGTATCTTTCCTCTCCTGAGGCTTGCCGTGAGTGAAAAGGATCAGTCCATTGGGTTCAGTGGTTCGGAAATCAAATGAGATGGAGCCCATCCTTTTGGTATTCCATTTAGGCAGACTAATATAGGCCTCAGGTGTCTCAAAGCTGATGGGATCCAGCGTAGCCACATTTTCACATATGAATTTTACTTCCCCATAGATCTTCATCTTGGTATCACCAATCCGTGCCAAGCGAGACAGCTCCAGACGAATGTCATTATTCTTATAAACAACCTGCCAGACACAAGGAAAAGTATCATACATCAATCCTGCATACAATACAAATACCCCAATTACTTTCAGCCATGGGAGATAAACTTTTCCCAAAAGGCAGTGGGGAGAGCAAAGGAGAGAGTGCAAGAGTCTGACATCATGATAGAGGGAGTAAGTTGAACCAGAAGAGTGTATAGAAATGACAGCAATGGGTACTTTGCAATGACTATAGATCAGATAAACAGTCAGAAGAGAATATTTAACTGAAGGGCAGTGAGAATAATTAACTCTACCACAGGCCCACTCGGCTGTAAAAGCTTCTGTACATAACATCCAGTGTGTATCTGGTATCATGCTGTTATATTTGCATAAATCCCATACAAAATACGTAACAAAATGTAACCTCCCTGTCCATCTCTACTAGCCACAGCAGGGAACTTGGTACCACCACTGTCATTTCTCTATTATATCTATACCCTTCTTAACTACTATAAGAGAGATGCAACTTGCTGTGAACTGTTAGTGATTGCCCTGTGGGTCCTAAAGAAAAAAATAATTAAGACTTAAATTTCTCTGACCAAGAAATCTTAGATAGCTACTGACACAAGCTTGCCATGGAAATATCCCTACAGCTTACCCTTGCTTCAAGAAACCAAGAATTTATGTGCTAACACATAAAAACCTATACATTTTCAGTGCCTGGACTCTCACTTTCTGTGGGTTAAGGACCAGAACTCCAGGCTCTATTGTTGCTACACAGATTGAAATTAGCCAACAGAAGAGCCTCATAATGGCACTCCTGAGCATGTCTAGCTTACTCAGGAGACCAGACCTCCTACTCTTCACTTTTTCTCAGGTAGAGAATTAATTCCTGAAAAGCAGACTCTTCTCTGCCCCACACCATTCTCACAGAAGGAGGAACTGGAGAAGGCACAAAATTGAAATACTTGTAAACTGTACTTCCTCGCAATCACCTTCCATGCTTGCTAAATGCAGAGCTGGCACATACAGTAAGCAAAACCACTTCTGCAACTACCACAATTTTTATTGAATTCTTGTTCAGTGATACTACTGAAGACTCTAATTTCTTCTAAGGAGTTATTATTCTAAAATACATATGCTATATGTCTTTCACATATAGCATATATACACAACCGTTTGATTTCTGCTTTCAAAATCCTATCAGGATGAGTTGTCAGCAAATTGTTACGAAAATAGAAGGGAAAGAAGATACACATTGTTACTTCTACTATTAGGACAGGAAAGTCAGAGAATGTGTATGCAGTAAATATTAAAAGGCAAATGAGAGAAAGAATGAGAGATAAGTTTATAAATTAGATAACTTCAGGATGAAAAATAACAAATGAAATCATGATTCAATACATTGATAGTTAGCAAAGAATTTCCAGCTTTCTCTAAGTATTAAAGGAGAATTTCCCCTGTGCAGTCAGATTTTCCTGTTGCAAAGGCAAAACACAGAGGGAAAGGAGAAGCCAGCTGTTAAATCCCATTTGGAGAAATGGCCCAAAGCTCTAGTTCTTCCCAGCAGAGGACAGTATTGACCCACAGTAACTTGTTTTGCTCCAATTCCTAATAACATGCTCTGCCCTCACATAGGCATCAGAAACATCAAAGCTATTAATATCTGCGACAGGGATAAAATTCATTTTCAATTTATTCTGTAGTTTTATTCTACAGATTAATCATGTCAAATGCTCTCATTAAAGACCATACACCTCCTTCCACTGACACAGCAAGGGGGTGCATTAGAGCCTCCTCTCTTGCTAGACAATGAGGTGCACCTCAGTCAGACTTTAGTTCTGAGCACTGCATGAAGTCCTGTCTCTGCTTCTCAAACAGAAAGAGGAAATAAATAGAGCAACTAAAAGGATGGAACAGGATGCTTTATGAGGATAGGCTGAAAAGGTCAAGCTCATATTTGGAGAGGACTGAGAAAAACATGATTGAAGTTTACAGAAGATGGAGAAGGTTGATGTAGAACTGTTCTTTGCCAAACCCAGCAATAATAGTGCTAGAGGAATTTCCTGAAACTTGTATGAAATCAGGATAAAATGGATTTTTAGAAGTACTTATTTACATGGAGGGTAGTGAACTTCTGGAACTTGCTGCCAGGGGAGGTCATGGAAGTAGGGTGCAGCAGAAAAACGCAAAAATATCCAGAAATAACAATGGAAGCAAGTCCACAAACCGATACTAAAGGAAAAAGGAAGGAGTGTGTCTTTAGCAATTGTAAACCCACAGCAGTGGGTGCTGTGGGAATGTAAGGGAATGCACCACTGACAGCATCCATGGGCATGTGCTCTCCCTAAATAGCACCTGCACCTTCCACTATTGGAGACACCATGCTGGCTGCATGGATTGACCATTCTTCAGGCCCACAAGGGCTTATGACTGAGGTGCAACATTGCATTTTGGGCTTCATCACAGCATGGAGCTGATTTGGAGGGCAAGAGAATGCCAGGCTTGAGTGAGCTGTGGCTTTAATGATCCTAAGGGAAGAGAGCTGCCCTTATAGGATACCACTAACAATTGCTCAAACCAACCCTGCTCTAAACTGCATCTTTCCATTCATGAGAGGAGCAGACAGGTAGCACAGTACCCTACACGTGATTGATGGGTGGTGCTGGGCTGTATCTAGCCATGGCTCAGTGATCTGTTCAGCAATCTCTTCGGGTTGCTGGTAGGGGGAATATCATGCCCATAAGCAGCTCCCACACACAGGTTACATCTCCCTCTTTGATGTATTTGATATTTGAGTAACAGGTCCCATCTTTTCTGGGGAAATGCAGAGGGTTTGCCTCTGAGTTTATTTGAGGTGTGATACTAACTGCTTAGTGTTTCATTAATCATACAAGTACCACAGCTGGGGAATCCTTGAGACAGAGTGCTTTCAAAGGAGCCAGAAAGAAAAAAATACATAAAGTTAGCTGTAATCAGAAAGTGACTAACAATGAAGACTCTGAGGCCAAGAATGAAGAGATCAAGAAAGCAAGCACAAAGGAAAACCTGGGCAGATGAGAAAGACTGATAGATAATAGATACCAAAGTTCTGAATTCAATCTTTACAAAGAAACATATCCACCCCAATCTCAATCTCAGTTGCTCAAATGTTGTTCCAAATTATTTTCTTTTTAAAAACCCCAAAACAAAACACCTAGCTTGAGAAATCTAAAAAAGCACCTATGTTTATGGAAAAAAATGCAAGTGTTTCCATAGGTGACTTGAAATATTGATAGACACATTTGGACATCAACATCATGCTGTATCATCAAATACATCAGAACTCTCATCATAATAATAAAAGAAAAGGATAGAAGTAAAGCTTGGGTATAAAACCCATGTGAATCCTTGTCAGGAACACAGAAATGCTAAGGCAGTTTCTGATAATGACAGTTCAATTGTTAAACCAAAAGTTCAAGATTAAGGAGAGAATATAATTAAATGACTGGTATGCATGTCCCATAGTGGAGAACATTCAAATTCAGTCTGTTTAATAGATAGAGGTTAAAATGTGATTCGATTGCAATCTACAAGTACCTGTGCAGAAAATGGAATTTGGTAAGAGAGGACTCTTCAATGCATGTGACAAATGGACAATGAGATCTGGGGGCTAGAGATTGAAGTTAGAGAAATTCACATTTTAAAATATTATGACTTATTTTTACAGGTATGCAGGTAATTTACTACTGAAATAATTTACTACAGGTTATAGTGTATTCTCTGCTACTGGCAAATTTTAAATTAAAATAGTATTCTGTTTTCTCTAAAAGACATAGTGAGACAGGAATTAATTATATAGCAAATCAGCCTAGATTATCATAATGGTTCTTTTTGGCCTCATAACCTACGAATCTTTGTGTTTTAATGAAATCAACAGAGGCTTCTGTGCAGTTTGCAGGACAGATGAAGCACATCTTCCCAACTGCTAAAATTGCCTACTAAAGGAGAAGATGCTATTGTCAGTTCTGGTCTGACTTGTCATCAGTGCTTTCAGTAAGGCTTTTTTATATATTTTTACATGCTTGGGATCCTACCTTAAAATACACCACTGAGAAGGAAGGCAAGAAAAAAGCCTTGGACAAAAAAACTGATTCTATAATTCAAACAGATAAGCTTCAAGAAACAGCTTCTTAGAGTCACCTGCTGCAAGCCAGAGGAGATACATTTTCATGTTTCACTGAGGAAGCTTTCTGCCAGCAGTAGAATCTACCATCTGCATAGCACTTCCTACCTTGTAGTCTCATTTTACGAGCAACCTCTCAACTAACTTGAAGGCTCTTCAGCATATGCCAAAATACCTATTGAACCCCACGCCCCTAAATTCAGACCAGGCCACGAGTGTCTCAGAACGCTGTTCCTCTCTAGGACAGGCTGCTAGGGCCACACATGGCTTCCACAGCAACTGAGAAGAGAGCAGAGCAATGAAAGCAGAGCCATACACTTCCCCATTTATGTCAGGCGCCTTCTGAACAACACCAGGCTTGCCTGTTTAAACACAGACAAGCTTGAACTCATCCCAGGTCTGATATGTACATTAGAGAAGGTCTAAGGGAGCCAAGGACATGATTCCTGATACAGACATACCCATCGTTATTTTGGGAAGGAAGGAGGAAAAGAGAAAGAAAACTATTAGCAAAAACTATGCACAGAGCTTTTGAAAAGTAACCTTCATTCCTCCCCAATCTTAGAATCACTTTATAGTGCAAAAATGAAACCAGAATAATGAAAAAATATTATTTTTTCCTTTTCCATGAAGGATAGTAAATACATTTTAACAAAGGAATATTGACCATTCAGTGCCTTTGTTTAATGAATTAGACTAGTATAAACGGATGGTCAGAAGGGGGATAGTCCAGATACACACGTAGTAGAATTTCATGGCATCTGAAACAGTCTGAGGGGAAAAATATATACATTAAAGCATGTTTTCTATAAACCTTCTGAGAAAGAAGAGCTTGTTTTAAGCAGAGCTATAACAAATTTGCAATCTAGTTCTCAAG